TAAAAGGCAATCAGGTTGGTCTGACATGACCTGCCCCTAATGAAACTGTGCTGGTTGCCCTTGAGCATCATCCCCGATGCCAGCCCATCACAGATGTGCTCCTTGATGATCTTCTCAAAGAGTTTCCCCAGGATTGAGGTAAGACTGACGGGCCTATAGTTGCCCAGGTCCTCCCTCCTTCCTTTCTTGAAGATGGGGACCACATTGGCTATCTTCCAATCATCTGGCACCTGGCCCGAGCACCACGAGCGCTCGTAAAGCCATGCCAGGGGCCCTGCAATAACCCCTGCTAGCTCCCTCAACACCCTGGGGTGGAGAGCATCTGGACATGCTGATTTAAACAAGTCCAGCCCCTCCAGAAGCTCTCTAACCCGGTCCTCCTCAACCTTAGGTCTTGAGGCGTTCCTCTCGAGTCCGTCTTGAAACACAGTGGGTGAGTCCCGGTCCCTGCACAAGAAAACGGAGGTGAAGAATTTGTTAAAGAGATCTGCCTTCTCCTCTGGTGCAACTACCAGATTGTCCAGCGCATCTTGCAGGGACTCCACGTTTCCCGGTGCCTTCTTCATCCTCCCTATATATTTGAAAAAGGACTTTTTATTATCTTTGATCTTGGACACTAGTCCTAGCTCTATGTTCGCCTTAGCTTTCCTAACAGCCCCGCTACAGGCCTGAGCAGTGGAGGTATACTCTTCTTTGGAAATAGCCCCCCCTTCCACCGGGTGTACGCCGCCTTTTTGGCAACCAGGCATTCTCAGATGTCCTTGGTGAGCCAGGGAGGCTTTCGGGCATTCTTGCCCCCCTTGCTTCTTGTCACTCCTTGGGCCCCAAGTATCGTCTCCTTAAGGAACGACCACTCATCTTGGACACTGAGTTCCCCTGCCCTCGAGAACCCCAGCGACTCTCCCACTAATCTCAACTCATTGAAGTTGGCCCTCTTGAAGTCTAGGGCTATTGCCTTGCTGCAGGCCCTTGTCACCCTGCACTGGATGGTGAATTCCAGCAAGCGTTGATCGCTATCACCCAGGTGGTCAAGGACCTGGAACCCCCTTACCAGATCATCGCCTCTGGCCAGGACCAGGTCCAACAGGGCATTTCCTCTGGCAGGACTGTGCACCTCCTGGGTTAAGTGGAGGTCCTGTATCTCGGCCAGGAACCTCCTGGATCGGTCCGACCTGGCTGACTGCTCCTCCCAGCAGATGTCCGGGTAATTTAGATCACCCATGACAACTACATCCCTTGCCTTAAGTGCCCTTGCAAGCTGGCCTGAAAATTCCCGGTCCAGCTCCTCCCCTTGGTTGGGGGGGTCTGTAGTAGACCCCCACCGTT